GGCTTCAAATTCCCGCTGTCGAAGCTCTTCAAGGAGGTGTTCTGCGCCATGGAGTGTGCTCCGAGCCAGTGTACTCCCAATGTTTACCGGGCAATCATGTGCTTCGAGAATTTGAGCCGTTTCTTCACGTTGGAGCTGACAGTGCGTGAGTTCTTTTATTTTTTCGAGGTGAGGCACTTTGAGCAGTATGCCCAAGTTCGCACCTACAAGACCAAGCTGTTCGACGGTCTTAGTTAGGGAGATCACGCTTGGCATGACGACGTGTTGGAACTTAGCGGACGTTGGGAGGGCGACGTTGATGACGGCCTACTTGTTCCCATCACCTATTGCCATGGTATGTCTTTTGCGACTTTTGATATGTTCCTTTTTATCTGAATTTCTTAAAGTGTGGTTGACTAACTTATGTCTTCTGCTTATAGTGAATGACATCAGCAAGCAATTGGAGCTTGGACCAGACATGGCTAAGGTCCGTCGTGCTTTGAACATCCCTCAAAAGTTTCGTGAGTGGCACTGGTTGTTGAGCTAGGATCGAGAGGTGGGGGGTGGTCTGCCCCCTGGCGGGGAGGCCGGACGCCTGACCCTGACGATCTGCCTACAGTACAGGAAGAGTGTTCTGCTGAATCTCCACCAAAGAGAAAGGCTGCTACCAAATCTTCCAGAAGTGAAGCTACTTCTTCGCACGCCAAGAATGGGTCTCCATCGAGGAAGAAGCCAAGGCTCTCTTTTGCTGAGAAGACTCAAGTGGGGTCTACTCCATCATCATCTACCAGGGTCAAGCATCTCGTGGGTGGAGATAGCACGAAGGTTGGTGGTATGCGCGGTGCTCGGGATGTTCTGCCCGAGCCTCCTGCTGACAAGCTTGAAAAACATGATCTGCTTCGTGAGACAGCTCGTACCCTGCCTAGTTCTGCTGAGCGTCAAAGAGATGTAGACATTCCTCCTCGAAGTTCGAGTCGTCTGCATCGGTCTAAAGATGGAGATCGAAGTGGGAGGTTTGCTTATGATCCAGTTGTTAAATCGTGGGCAGTCAAGCGTGGAGTTAATTCAGTATCATTGACTCCTTTGGAGATGAAGTTGGCGGAGGCTAAGAAGATGAGAGAGTCATCTGCTCGGGCTAAGGGTTCTTCTTCAGCGACGGCGGTTAGTCCTAAGGTGGACAAGTCTAGCCCCGCAGGGGATGCATGCGTGTCTGATCTGCTCAAAACGAACTTCCTATCAAACCCGTCCTCATGTGCTGAGCTGGTTGATCACATCCGTTAGGTCGGCGATCTTGGCACTTTCTCGAGCCTTTCCTTGGAAAAACAAAGGGAAGCGACATTCCATCTGATCCAAAAAGAATTGGTTTTTGCTGCAGAGACCATTCGGAACTCATCTGTCGTTGCCCCCTCTTCTGCTCAGCTTAGCGAGCTGGAGAAGAAGAATGCTGAATTGGCCAGCCATCTTGCCATCGAGCAGGCCCGTTATGAGAAGAAGACGCATGATTTGAGGACAATGATATCTGAGCTGAAAAGCTCCCTTACCGAGAAGGATTCTGAGCTCAACTCTCTTGCCACTGATTTGGTTAGCCGCAAAGATGCCTTTTTTAGTCTTGAGCGTAAGAATGCTGACATCTCCCTTAGCTATGACAAGCTCCTAGCTAGATTTCATGCATACCACAAGTCCGCAAAAAAATCCAAGTCTGAAGCCATCATAGATGCGTACAAGTTGGGCTACCTGCACTGTGCGGATGAGACTACTCCCTTGTATGCGATTGACGATGTAGACATCGAGACACTCTGCCCTGATTCACCCCGTGCGGAAGGAGGAACTGAAGAGCAGGCAGTTGGAGAGGATGGAGGGGAGGAGGACACAGTAGATGAGATGATGGTAGATGTTACGGAGCAGGCAGATGAGGCTGCTGAAGGCATAGCTGATCAGGTGGACGCCGAAGAGGCTGCAACTCATAGGTCTCCTGCTGGCGCCTCGGAGTAGATGAAGACTTCTTTGTTTCTTTTCAGCTTTTGTAGTTTGCTTTCTTGTTTAGAATAATTGGTCCTTTTTGACCATATTCTTTTTGTTAAACTTGGCCAGTTGGTCATCTTGTTATGGAAATTTCAGTTGTTATTCTCAACTTTCGATTTGCATATCGACTTGTGAACTATTAAGTAATCAGCTTCTATCTTGATTGCACTTCTTCTTTGGAGATTTATGAGTGATAGGGT